AAATCATAAAGTAAGTACCGTACGTACGTACGGTACGGTTCTAGGTTCTAGTGGGTGCAAATTACGAACAAAATTGATGCGTTGTCCAAATTTCTTGGTGTGCTCTCCATGACAATGATGCATGTTCAGCGTCACTGACACACGAAAAGCATACGGTACGACGATACCGAYAGCGACAGAAAATCAAAATGGGCAATCGGAATAGCCTGTCAAAATACTSATTAGTAYTTCTGCACAAGAGGATCTGTTGTCGTCATAGAAAGTGGTGTCACCCATTCTATCATTTTAATCTAMAAACCCTCGACAATCGAGATATATTCTTTACGGTCGTCGAGAATCCGTTTTTGTKTTACAGTGCTKGGAAAAAAGGCTTTCTAGAGTAAGAAGGAAAGTGTTGAGGTACCTAATTCGAAAGAGATAAACAACCGACGTTTTAATCACATACTTGAATCACTTCGTTGTGGCATTACGGATCAGAACCGCCCASTCTCTCGAACAAGAACGCTCCATCGGAGCCGAACCGTTGGCATTGCAACGCATCATGGTCAGACAAAATGGCGGGAAGGTCGCAAAAGATTTTTACAAAATATTGCGAGTGTCGAGCGAGGCGACTAAGGCGGAAATCAAGACTGCTTATCGAAAACTTGCTATGACATTGCATCCCGATCGACACGATGGAGACGAAGGAAAAACCAAGGCCTTTAAGGAAGCAACGGAGGCATACAATATATTGTCCGATAACGAACGGCGAAGGCAGTACGATGTCTCCCTGGGAAGATCGTCACCTTCGGGGTGGTACAACAAAAATCGCAGACGGCCTCCACCCTCCGGCTATCGAAAAGTGTACGCACCGCATGCTCCGCCAGATGGGAAATGGCACGATGCAMAACGGCATTACGACATGCACTATGGAGACGGTCAGTACCACGACGCACTGAAAAGTGCTTACAAACGAGCAAAGGAAAACGGTGAATTTGATTATCATTCGCCAATAGGGAAAGGGTTTACTTTTGAATCTACTACCAGGAARAAAGCAAATAGCAAGGATTTCAATCCATATTCAAAGGCAGATCAAGGACCAGCATCAAGCGGGTACGAGTACGAAGAAGCCTACATCTCGGAGGCAAAACAAGTGATGAAACGAAAGACAGGAGTCGTTAACATGCTATACGAACGTCGGAGACAGCGACTCCAGTTTCAAGAGCAACAAACCCATACGAACGSAGCAGCTACAACCGACCAGGGGGGTACTGGACAAGCTATGCACGATCCATTCCAGCAACAAAGCCCTGTTGGCAATTGCACCATTATGTRATCCAATTTTTCGCRCATGGTATGACGAGCATACCGTAGCCATTAATGCTTTTTGATCGATGAATGATGACTTGCCTAGACGAGAACGTTTTGATCATACTATTGATTCGGACACTTTGATGCATATTCATTGTTTCCTGTAGTTCTCACGACASTCCAGTATTTCAAGAAGTCGCACGCACCTTCACGAATACGAAAACCAATCCAAATCGAAGCCTGAAACTACAATGCAACGTGGATTACCTAATGCCAATCATTTTTTWAAAGTAAAGCGCTAATGGGGTCATTGAATCAGAGAACGCAATAAAATATTTAGACAGCAGCAAATATTTGGATAGACTCCAACATCGAGACATRGGCGGTTGACCCAGTAAAGTATAGTGTCAGACAACAGGATCGATTTCACTGGCGCCACAGTTCATGGATGCTGTATCTAGGGCCAATCCTCTGCATCGTGCGATCGAATGAATCTTAGTATTTCTGCTCCGAATTGGTTTTCATCCTCCAACATGGCGTAATGGGAACAATTCGATAGAACCACTTCTTCCGACTTAAAGTTATCACCGTCCAGTCGTTCCCTCCATCCGGCCATACAACTTTCGGTGCAAAAGTCGTACTCTCCACGCAACAGCAAGGAAGGTATGCGATGGAATTCGTCGACTTCTTCTGCTTCGTAACCGTGGATCGCCTCTATCCCCCTCCACGGTGCAGGCCCCATGTTCCCTAGTGCATCCATGAGAGCCAGGGGGCAATCTGCGAGTCGACACTCGTGGGTCTGTTGGAATTCCTCCGACTTCATCATCGACTGGCGCAGTTGCTGTTTTTGTTGCTCAGAGGATGCAATTGCAGTTTTGTCCGTGATGTCTTTCTCGCAGCAACCATTACCGCCATCAATGGAACATCCATTGCTCTTTTCTTGACTAGTGAGACTCCGAAAGAGCCGTTCTGATTCTGATTGTATCAGTGAAGCCGAAGTGGGCGTCGAGGAAAGAAGCAAGGAAGAAACACAACTTGCATGCCGCCCGCCAGATAATTCCTCGTCTAGTGTACAAGTCTTCGCCAACAGGTACTCGTATGCCAATATTCCGCCAAAGGAATGACCGAACAAATGAAATCGTTTCAATTTCCAGTGTTCGTCTATGAGCTGGCGCAAATGCTCTACCATGGTCGGAATTGAGAAGGGAGGATACTCGGCTTTCTTCTTCGCATTGTTTTTATTGTTTGAGTTTGGTTCAGTAAGTGCTTGCGGACGCGAGGACTTTCCACACCCCCATTGATCGTAAAATATCACGGTTCGATCCGTTACGCCATTCACGATAGGCAGGAGATAATTCGATGGAATCGATGGACCTCCGTGCAGGCACAAAAGTGGGGGCTTATTCTGGTCGTAGAGTTGCCTGGGTCTGAAGATGATATAGGACAGGATTATGGGGACACCGCCATTGTCGTGAATAGTGTACTTCTTCGCGGGACACATTAGTTTCTTTCCGTCGTTGCCGTTATCATTGCGAATGCCGATGTCCTGGTCTTCGTTGGCTGAACTGGAAGTTCCAGTGGCAACACGATACTTCCCGATCCGGCTCATGGCTCCTGTCACACAAAGCGACGGAAGCGGTGGGGGGGGTGCCACGCCCAATACAGTTCGACTCAATCGCTCATTCTTTTTCTTCGTTGGATCCAATAGATGGGATGGGATCATTATTTGGCTGTATCTTCCGGATTTATTGACGATTAATAAGTGCAAGTCRTACCCTGGTTGTAACAAGCCGGCGATCTCAGCATGATTGATTGAACAATGATCATAAGATGTGAACGGGGCCAGTCAGACCGACGATTTTTTGTGACGAGGATATTTTTCTGGAAATCTTTTTCCAAGATTTTCATGAAAATCACGCGGATTTGAGTTAGTACGGTTCTGTACAACTGTATTCAATATTCAATCATTCCATTCACTTTTGTAGCGCAAAACCTAATACTTTGTACCAAACATGTTGCATTAGTCAGATTGATTGAAATCACSTCTCTCTGACCTTAAGGGTGTGTTTCTCTACGCAATTTGGAGCAAGACAATGTTGTAGGCCTGTAGTTGCAATGGATACAAYATATCATGAATGTTGGTGAAAAATTATATTAGTAGTTATTTTTTGTTACATGACAAAGAGTCGCAAATATGATGATGTGCGTTTCGTATATGTGATTCGTGATGTAGAAAATATAGCTCTGTCRATTAGTTGCTGGCAGCTTGTGCCTCTTTCTCTCCTCCGAAATTGTCCTTCGACTTGGATACCAACCCGAGTTTTGATCCGAGGCGTCGGAAGACGTTCTTCAACCGGAAGGCAAACAATCGTAGCAGACCTCTTGTGCGGGGCTTGCCAAAGCCACCAAATGCACGGGAATGGAAGTTCACCATCGCCTTTTCGTACTGGACATTGCGGAGGACGGATGTGGCAGCCTCCCAGCCCCAGCGCTCGGCTTCGGCGCGGGCCGCTTTGGCGATGTCATCGCGAAATTTCTTGTCCTCCAATTGTTTCAGGCGCGCGACGTATCCATCAATGTCGGTGGTTTCCACGAGGAAGCCATCCTTCTCGTTTGTGATAATGCTGGGAATTCCACCCGCGTTTGCGGCAACAACGGGAACACCACTGGCCATGCTCTCCAAGACGACAAATCCGAGGGTTTCCGAGTCACTGGGCATGATAAAGGCGTCCGCGCTGGCAAAGGCCTGCGACAACTCGTCGCCAYTGCGCTGACCGAGGAACACAGTCTTGGTTCCCTCGAAATATTTCACCAACTCGTCCTTTTGTGGTCCCTTGCCGACAACGGCAAACCGGGCATTGGGCATTTTTTCCATCATGTCACGGACGTATTTGATGTTCTTTTCTCCTCCCAGACGCCCGACATAGACCATGAGGAAGTCATCGGGATTGTTGTCAGACATTAGCTTCCTCATTTCAGCRTCCTTGAATCTTGGGTTGAAACGCTCGGTGTCGATACCCTTCCGCCAGACATCGACGCGAGAGATGCCATTCTCGAGGAGTTCATTCTTTATTTGCGGCGAGGTAACCAGAGTCAAGTCGGCTCGATTGTGGGCAAACCGCAAGAGCTTCCAAGMGAACTCCTCGATTCCGGGAATGAAACCTAAATAGTTGGCGCCATAGGCCGGCAAATGGGTATGGTAACTCATGACCAACGGAATGCACATGGTACGAGAATAGAAAATTGCCGCCAGGACCATAAATCCTCTGGAAGGGTGGATTGAGCATCGATGTTCCATGCAATCCAGCAGTCGGAAAACCAATATTTTTGAAAACGATGTATGATGAGTTCTGTCGTGGAACGAGAACGACGTGCGCATAGCATTCAACTTGTCACAGTTTCAATTACTTACGGGCTTGTGACATGGATCAAGTCCGGTTTGAATTTGTCCAGCATTGACGAACCCTTCATTTCGGGCAAGTCAAGAGTCAATGAAATTTGATTGTAGAGTGGAAAAGTAAATCCAAGCGTGTGTTCAATTTTGAATCCAAATGACTCTTTAGGTAGATCTTTTTTGGGTGTTTTGGAGTCAACCGTGAGGATCTCAACCTCGTCACCGGCCTTGGAAAGGAACTTKAGCATTTCCTTGAATCGGTTGGCATACCCCGAKACATGGGTGAACGGAGTGGGTTCCACCATGAGGAAAACCTTTTTGGGGGGGTTGCGTTTCAGGGGAGGAGCATCATTCGACATGCCTTCCGCGGACTGTCTCAGTTCCGTGCTGCTGCCAAACATGGTACTGGGTGTYTTCGTGTACGTCAGTGGCTGAAACGCGAAACAGGACGCTGCCAGTATGGCGATGACGAGGATCAAAAGTGACGWAGAGGTCTTCATCATGAATGTACAGWATCGATACGTAAATGTGGGTAGTTTGGTTGGAACTCCGCGGACGAACTGTACTAAATCCTTTCTGGTCTTCTTGATATCGTGATCGTCTGGCTTCTTAGCAGGGTCTTTGCGTTCTTCCAGTATATGTCTCGTGATGATACGGTAGATCTTTTAGACAAAGCCACTTTCACCCCAGCTCTTTCCTATGTTACAACGAATRGGTATTCAAGTTTTGAATAGTACAAGRTTTGTCGGGACGAAGTCGCTGTGTTGGGTTCCTAGTCTTCTCCTTGGAGGTTATCGAGGAGAGTCGGTGGATAAAAATGATTGTTCTAACGGTACGTACCGTACTGTAAGGTACGATACGTCGTGAATACCGTAGATTCATCAGATTCGTCACAATTGATTATTACGTGTAACCTAGATACGGTACCTCCGCTCCGTACATATGGTACCGTATCAGAAAACTTCAAAAGGATCGGAGAAAGCAGCGCGATTGTACAAGACATACGTACGAGTACTTCGGTTCGGCTCGGAGTGATACTAGTACGTATCCACGTACGTACACTACGGTACTRTACCCTACCGTACGTCGGTGCTCAGTTTGGCGCCATCGAAGTATTATTTGTGATTTTGATTTCCGTATTTGATTCTTTTTAAATGTGAAGTGAMACCCGCACATGCGCGCAAGTTTTTTGGAAAACAATTTTCAAAAATATGTGAGAAACATATTATTAATTACTACCTCCATCCAGATATGATTGTACACTTTGCACCTCTTCAGTTGAAATAAGCTCAATATTTGGGCGATTGGAATACTTATTTTTGCACTAAACAGATTTATTGCAGTAGTATACACTTGTGTTAATTGCAATTTATTTATAGCATTGGTGCACTCTTTAT